ATGCTATGCCTCTCAGAAAGCTGTCCCCTTCCTCCTGTAACTTCAGGGATGGCAGAAATAAATAAATAAAAGGAGGTAGGTCACACTACTTTGCTGAAATTTCATTAAGGCATTCAGACCCAATGTCCAAGGAAAGAGGCTGATGATGACGCCTGGGCCTTCTTCTTTGGAGCCATTTCCAGCGTCGCTGCAGTGCTCTCACTTTATTTTGTACATCTGTAACAGCGTAACTGTAGCGCTGTGTCTCTGAGAGGCCCTTCAGCTTGCTATTGAACTGATAAATTCACTGTATTACTTTACACAAATCAATACCCTAGCAGTTATCAGGGGTTGATGTGACCAAAATTGGTTTCAGCCAATTTGTGAGTGTAATAAATGTCCATTTATCAAATCAATTCATTCAGCGGTGCTTCTCAGACCGCCCGGGCTCAGGGTACCACGGGGTGATGTCTCCAGGTCCATACCCACCGTGGGATAACTCTCCTCTGTCCAGGCTCTGCATCTACAGTCCAGGGTCTATTGCATCCCCGAAGAACTGCTCATCCAGCCCCACTGTCGGTGGCTCCGGGATGTGGAAGAAGACGAACCTCAAACTAGACCAAAGCTGTTTGCTTGCAAAGTCTGACCTGACTTGCAGGCAACAAGTGCTATGCACACTGAAATATAGAACTTGTAAAGGATCCTATCTTGTCCAAAATAAAACCAATTTCCTTTGGACCAGAGCAGGATGATATTCCTGCTTACCCATTTTCCTTCAGCTTTGAAATGCCAACTGATTTCAACTTCATAACTGCTTAGCATGTTTGAAATTTGTAATTTTACAATTAAAAAGTAGAATTTCTGCACTACCCTTTATTAAAAATCTCTACACTAAAAAATACACAACACTTTTCCTTCCTCCCTTCTTATTCAACTTCAGGAAGAGTTGTAACAGATTAGTTCAATCCAAAAAGTTTAGGAAATCAGCACTGGGAAGTGGTGTTTTTGAGCCCCCTACCCCTAAGTGACCACTGCCTGGCAAACGTTATGTATCTTTATAAAAGACATATTCTTTCTCTGGCATGATATTTAGGATATGAGATCACAAAACAAACAAAAAAATATATAGTTTCAAAAAATGCCCTCCTTTGGTTTATAACCTCAGACAGGAGATGCTTTCTTTCTGTTGATCCCCAAGAAGCACGCACTGCTTCACCCTGGTGCCTCTGCATCTTCAAGTGAAAAGCCAAATAAGACCTAACCAGATTCAGAGTATAATCATTTATGAAAGTGCCCTGGAAACACAACCATAAGCCTTTTAGCTCTTCATTTGCATGAACCAGTTGTAGCATCCAGGCTGTCATTAGTTCCTGGGATCACAGGAATGACCTGCCTGTTTCTTTCTGACATATTATGAGATGGAATATTTAATTTGGATTTTGTTAAAGTGAATCAAACACCTACACCCGCAGAGGGGAAAGCATCATTCAGCCACGGCCAAGCTGCCTCCCACCATTGCCGTCCCCAGTCAGGGCACTGGGAGGAATCCTGCACTCTCGGAGATGCCCTGTTATGATCTGTTAACCATCATCCACCTTCTCACGGTCCTGCCATTGTTTGTCCTGCTTCATGTAGCAGAAAAGAGAGCAGCAGGGCTCAGATATATCCCGTGGAAATGACAGAGAAGGGTTTCCTCCCTCTGCGGTAAAGATGTCAAGCTGTTGGTGCTGCGACTGCGGCAAGCTCCGTGCAAGCATCCCGGCAGTTGGAGCCTCTGTGCATCCCCACCACCCCGGACCTGCGTGGCAAACACCAGAGCACATATTCCCTTTGTATTCTCGGCTGAGCCCCTCTGGAGACTGTTTGGATCATGCACCGAGTGACGGATTAAATCTGATTATTCAATTAAGGCAGCAGTTATAAATTAAACATATCAGCTAGGCTCGGTAAATCTCGAGATGTGGTGTGCGGCAAGTCTCCTAGCCAACAAACTGCATCGGTGAGTGCAAAACAGGAGGCACGTGGAGTCCACAAAGTGGCAGCAAAACCAGCTGGGAATAAAATAAATAACAAAAATAGATGGGAAGTGCTTGAAAGAAAAAGTCATGTCTCTAAATTCACTCTTCCTGAAAGAAAACAACAAAAATGGGGCAGAAGGGAAGAGGGGGAGGAGGGGACGGAGACTCTCCTGCTACCTTTTGGTCTGATATCCCGAGGCTGCAGGGGTATCAAGCACATTCCCTATAATTCAATAAGAGAAACCTCCATAAAGGCAGCCACTCTAATGTGCAGAAACACCACCTGTGTCAGAAACAGGCACTACCCATTAATCAAACCTTCCCAATTAGCCCGTACTGCTGCCCCCAGGCACAGCCACTCTCCAAACACAGAGGGTGTCTGTTGTGTTTGCAGGGGGAGAGCTGGCTCTTTCCAGGGCTTCCAGATCACACAGGACTTGTCTTTGTTAACTAGACCGCTATGGTTTTTGTATTTATGACAGCACGTTGCTCACAGTTCTGCCCTGACCTCAGCCTGGTCTCACCTTGCTGTCCCGTTTTCAGGCACTGAACTAGGATGCGCGGATGATTCAAGGAATTTTTAACAGGATCCAGAGGCTTTCAGGCTTTGGACTGGCAAATTCAACCCAGCCCAGCTTGCTGGAGCCTTGATTTCCTTACAGTCTTTTAGTGTCCAGCATGAAAAAAACTGCTCCTGAGTTTTGAGTGGCTGCCCCAAGCTTGTGACACCAAGGAAAACCACCTCACACAAACAACCGGGACCCCTCTTTTCTTTTCTCTGCAGGTGCTCTGGTCGGGGCTGTGCGCTCCATCACGTGCAATGGATGGAGTCTGGCTGGTGCCTTCAGCGAGAGACAAAGCGTAGTGCTCCCCGGGAGGGTAGCGGGTGGCTCGGAGCTGGTGGAGCTGCAGCTCCAGGCTCTCTGCAGGGCCAGGCTGATGCCCCAGGCTCACGCTTTGCAGGGATGCTGCTGCCGGAGCCGTGGTGGTATAAGCAAAGCAACGTTTACAGCGACAGATAATCGCATTTACTAGGCTAACTGATACAGTCAGAAATCATCCCCCTCTGCTCCACAGATGCCCAGCACCCTTTCATCTCAAAGTGCCTAATTGATTAACGAAGTTATGCTCAGAGCAACTGTCTGCGCTCATCTGAAATTCATGGTTTCTGTTTGGGCCAGTGTGCCTAAAAGCTGGTCTGGTTTTTTCCCCAACTCCAGCCATTGGTCCGATGAAAAACATTACCTTTTTCTCCAACCCTTGCTGCACACTTGTATGGTTCCATCACAGCCACAAGAGGCCAGACTCCTCATTTATTCCCTGCATTTATTTAATTTTTTTATAAGCAGTGAAAACTTAGAATTTGAAGTGCAGGAGAAACACCTCCAGAAAAAGGCACCAGCACCCTCATTTGAGCACGGCTTTCAGCAGACCCAGACAAGGCAACACTAGCTAAGGGCTTGCACTGTTTGCAATGGATTCACGGACATGTGTGACCACATGTTTTACCAAATCTATAGCACAGACAACTAACACGGCTTGCAAGACAGAAAACAACAGAAGCAGACTTGTAAAGGCAATGTGCTTTAAAGTTGAGTCTCTTAAGGAGGTGCCTCATGCAGCATTCCTCTCTCGGCAGTGTATATAGCAAGAGAAGATGGTGTCCCCTTGTATCTGTAAGGGCTCGCGGATACAGCAGGGAATGCCACAGGGACATGCTGCTGCAAAAGGTTTTGCTTTAATGTTATCTTTGGTATTTACTGGCAACACCTCCAGAAAGGTAGGGATGGAAAGGGCTCAGGAGGCAAATAACCCTTCTATCAGCTATCATCCATCCCATCCTCCCCAAAGCCTGGGTATCTTATGGCTAACCACAACCAAACACACTCTGAGAGCTCAGGATCACAACCCCCACTGATCAAAGTGGGGCCAGGCTCTGAACTCGAACTGGAATCAGTCTGTTATGAGGCAAGAAGAGCTTTGTGCCATAAACTGCAGCTACTTTGGCTGAGCAACCATTTCCTCAGCAGCAAATGCTTCGTTTGACACAAGAACTAGAGGGCACCAGGCGAAACTATCAGGAGGCAGATTTAAAATGAATAAAAGGGTCTATTTCTTCCCTAGCGATGCAACTGTCTGCCAAAGGACGCTGCAGAGGCTGGATGTTTACAGGAGATCCAAGGGAAACTTGGACAAATTCATGGAAGAAAACTCTTGAGGGCTGCTGCACACAAAACTGTAACTTCTGGTTCAGGGTACTCCTGGCTTGCAAATCGATGGACATTGGGGGAGTAGAGTGAGGAAATACCACTCTGTATTTGTCTTGCTAAAGCTCCCTGTGCTCTGGTAACAGTGGCAGGACACTGGCCTTTGATCTGACGTAGCACATATGGCCCGGAAAGTGCGGCTGAAGTATGTGCTTGTATTTTATGTGGAATGAAGCCCCAAATCTGTAAGGGATACAGGAAAATTCCCCAAAGCAGCCTGTGTGTGAGGGGCTTCTGTACATAAAGTTGTACAAAACTGCTTGCAAATTATTAATGAGTGATATTCTTTAGACAAATGATCTTGTAAAAAGATAGCTCAATGTTCAAGTGTCATCATGTTCAGCCACTGTGTTTAGCTGAGAACTGCCTGCGTGCGTGCTCAAAGGTGTGAGGTGGGCATGTCAGTGACCAACTTCGACCTTTGAGACACTACACTTAATCTGGGGAGAAAGCATCCCAAATGAAAGGGCTTGTAGGCACCTCACTCCAGTGCCTGGGAACAAAGCATCCAATGGTCGTCTCTGCTGCTGCACCTGAAACAGCCCCTCTTGTGATAAAGAGCAAGCGTTCTCTCTCACAGCCAAGAAATACCTGCTGGACCTCACGGTGAGTCCCCCACCAACCTTGGTGACCTGCTCAGAGGCAGCCTCAGATCAGGGCTTGAGGGAATGGCTTGCTTTCCCTGCAGAGCAGAAGATGTGGGAGTGCAGAGTGGGCGGTGGGTGAGGGGTCCTACCTGCTCCCACCGTTGCTATTGCGCTCTCCTGACCGATGATGTGCTCTTTTAGCCGTTGCTCCAGTGGAAACCTCCGGCGTTCCTCCACCTCCCTCCTGCGCTGCTCCTCCTGGAACTGTGGGAGGAAAGAAAACGTTGGGACCAGAGGCTTTTCGGAGCAACAACATAAGCATCGGGTAGGTACATAGAGTTTCCCCCTCCCCAGAACTGCAAAGCCCTGCATGGGTATCTCTCTGACACCCAGACAGACAGAGCACTGCTCCCTGGCACTGGGAAGCAGCCAGGGCAGATGCAGCTTGGTCTGGAAGCACCAGCTCAAGCAAGGTGAAATTTCTGGATCTGCTGGGGATGGAGGCTGGGGTGCACGGGAATGGAGAGAAGTGGGTGAGCTGCCACACCATGGGCAGCACTCAGGAACCGGCTTTGCAGCTCATGGGAAAACCAGACACTGCACTGCTTCTGTAACAGTGACACAGAGGGAACACTGACACTGCTCAAATTTCCTAATGAACTCTTAACCTGTTATGAGCTTGCTTATTTTGAAAAATAAAGCCTTGACTGTTCTACCTATATTTGTTTTCTTACCCTCCACACATCTCCTGTTCAAAGACTCCAACAACATCCCGCAGGGATGGAAGAGCATCAGTGTGTCCTGTTGTGTACACTGGGGAAGTCGGATACCATTGCTTTGCAGACAAACCCGCAGCAGCACACAGGACGGCACTGAAAAATGCTCTTTACTCTGGAAATTTGCCTTCTTCCACCTCCAGCTCACAAGGAAGCAGGGCCTTTGAGAGCCAGTAACTTATGCATTGCTTCCATCCAGATCATTTTCTGGAGCTGAAGGCTGAGATAGCACACAGAGTAGTTTACAGAGACGTCCGACACAAGCACATCTCCGAGATGCTTGGGGATGGGATACAGGCAGAGTGGGAGCAGGTCTTATGGGGCAGTGAACTTCCAGAGGAAAGAGGACAAATCTAGCCCCTGCTCATCTTTAGAAAATGCTGCAAAACTTCCTGCTGAGCACCCTTCCCCTCACAAGCAGAGGCTGGCCATTTCACCAGTGAAACACTGCTCTGGAAACAACCATCCCACAACGCCAGACTTAGCTAAGGACAGAACATAAAGAGCCCACAGGGTTTGCAGAGTGAGTAACTTAACACACATAACTGGCTCCATCATTTAACCCACCTTCCTGAAGGGGAAACACCTCTAACAAAACCAGAAAGCAGTTGCAGAAGCTGCAGCAGGATCCTGCTGCCAGAGCCGGAGCAGATAAACCCCCCCCCCGGCCAGGTTGCCAGTGTTTCCTGGGCCAGTAGTGGCTCTGACAGAAGTTAAAAAAAAATAAATAGCAAACAATCCAATTTGGGCTGGTGCTATCAGTCTCGTGTGTAACGGAGAGATGCCATCAGCCCTGATGCCTCATGTGGAGCAATAACTTCCCTGCGGATCCCAGTGGAACAGCACTGCGGGACAGACACCGTCATGTCTGTGGTGATCTCCCCCAGTTCCGTGTACACCACAAAGCTCAAAGCACTGCTCTTGCCATATATCTGTGTCTTTCTATATATCTTGACAAATCTTTTCTTCCTCCCTCCTCTTCTGCCTTTCTTAAGGTACAGAGAATTTGATCTGTGTTGTCAGGATACTGAACGATTTGCGTGGGTTTATAGAGAAGCAGGAAGACGCGCATGAAGAGCAGGAGGGGATGCCCTTTTTCTGCAATGCCCTCTCCCTCCCTCCTTGGAAAACCAACATTATAGAAGTCCTTGGGTAGGAAGAAAGTCCCTTTCATGGGTAAAAAGCTGCACCAGTTACAGTGCTTTTTCCAAGCTGTCCCACTATGGTTTTCTGCTCAGGCTCTGTTCTGGAGAGACCTGCCGTCCCATGTGCCATCTCCTTGGCAGAGCTGCAGTACCACCAGGCATCTCGCAGTTGGGTCACGCTGCCAGCTCGGAGCATCCTGAGCAGCAGCCACAACCCACACTGAGCAGGGCTCACCAGAACGAGAAAAGTCCACTGAGAAAAACATATTTTTAGATCAGTCTGGGATACAACCTGCAACAAAAAGCCCCTTGGGTTTTACACGAGACGCAAGCTTGCACTCCTTTCTCTTCCATTCCCTCCACCACCCTCCTACAGAGGTATGCACCCAGCTTCTCCCACCTTCTCCCTGCTATCTTGACACCAGGGGCAGCTGGAGCACCACATCTGACCCAGGTCTCGCTCCTGCCAGACATTTCTGCTGGACATTTTGACCTCATCTGCATTTGACTTCAGTCCTCAGTGTTGGTGGTGAGGAAACCAGCAGCCAGAGAAAGCAACACCTGTTCCAGGTTTGCAGTGTGAAACAGTGTCAGTGGGGACTGTGTCCTCACCCTCTGACTTCTACGGCACATCACTGGCACTTAAGCGGATTACAGCGGTGTTACGTGCTCTGAAAGAAATGCAAGGAGTGGTACCCTGCTCTTGCACTGAAGGCAACCAAACTCCTGTGCTCACCTGGGCTAAGAGGTTCTCCTGATGCAATGCCAGAAGCACAAGAAATGTTCATTTTTAGTAAGATATTCATTCTGTCTGTGCTTTGGCAGACCTCACTTTGAGATAATAACAGCTGGCTGCCTGTCACCAAGATGGGTACGGCAATTGTATTCACTGGCTTTCGTTATTCTTTACCCAGCATGGCATCCCTCCCAAGCATGACTGCATTTACGGGAAAATATTCAGAGGGAAGAGGTTCAGAAGCACAGCACCAGCAGAAGCAAACCTTTGCAGAAAACCTACAGATGTGGAGGGGACAGTGTCTTTCGCCTTACAGGGGTAAGATCCTAAAAATTAAAGGAAAGCAAGATGATAAACCTCTGGTCAGCTGCAGAACATGTCGGGGACGTGAACTAAGCTATGACAGCCTTTGGAGATCTGGAGAGTAGTTCTTCTGCGGGAAGGGCAAACACCATCTTGAAGTAATTCTTGTGGGTTTACAGAAAGCATAAAATCAGCTTTCACTGCAAGGCTGCTCTGCCCCTGACACTACATTTAAGATTGTGTGGGGCTTAATGAACAGACACTTTGCAAACAACCAAAAGAGAAATTTTTCTCATAAAATATGCTTAAACCAACAACCCGAGGATGTTCTGGATGGAAAAAGCAAGCCACAGCTGGATGTTTGTTTTCTTTAAAAGGTCCATCAAAGGCAATTCAGTATGATGAAGGGGACACAAGCTCCAGTTCAGGAGGTCCTCACACCACTGCTTGCCAGAAGGGAGCCCAGAGAAACGGCAACTGTGTGCTCATCCTGGCTGAAACATTCCTTAAAAATCTGTTAGCAGCCACTGATGGGACACAGGAGAGACCACTGGATGGATCTGACTGGGCCCAGTACACCAGGGGAAAGAGGACTTGAATGGCAAAGAAATACTTAGAAGAGCTGAAATCAGTTCTGGGGCTGCTTTCCTTCCAGTTACATACAGAAGACACTAGTTTCAACGGCTACTCCCTTCCTTTCTGCCCTAGATACATGACAGCTTATTTAAATTTCACTGGACTGTTTAGCAATGTGAACTAGCTCAAGAGTCCTAAACACCAGGCAAGTGTGGTCTAGCATAGGGAAAGCACACACAGAATTCTTTTTTTTTTTTTAAAGAATAAAGGAAATCAAAATAAATTAAAAATACATATGAAAACTCCTTGTTATTCTGTCACAAGGATATGTAAATAAAATCTATGGGATGTGCCTATCCAGTAATAGTTCTGCCAATTCATTCTCTAGCAGTGATTAAAATGAGCAATAAATTCTCAAAGACTCTCAGTGGAATGCAGATACTGGGGTGGATGCAACCCCTGGAGCACCATATCCCCCCCAGCTGAATATTCATCACGAGCTGGCTTGACTGCCTTACGTTTTATATACAAGTACAATCATTTTCATCAGGAACATCTCTATAGATATATTTCTTTTCTCTCCTCCTTCTATTAGTTAAGCATAAAAACCAATGCAGCTTTTCAAACTGTTAGGGGCAGATTTCCTTGCCAATGCTGGACTCCAGAGACCATTTACCCAGCAGATAATTCTCCCCCCCTCCTTCTCGTAAAGATTTCAAGTATTTTATTCTCAACTTTTCTTCCTTAAAACTTGCTTGGAGAGCTGTCCAAGCGACCAAGCGGTGCTTCTGGCTAACACAAGAAGCTGTCAGCTCTGCAGAGGAGTGCCACGGTCAGGGTTTCCTTTGCCGTGATGGAGCATGGAGAGCCCAAGAGGAAAGATCCCTGTCTCCCTGCTTAGGACAGAGGTTTAGCATTCAGGGAACATGATTCTGAACTCCTGCTTGAGCAAGGATTTTCCTAGGTGAGTGCAGGCAGTACAGCAGTTTTGACTGCCTGGCACATTTAACTCATAGTAATGTCCACTAAATGTAGTAATTGCCACAGTTTTAATTACTTCCTCTTCCACTTGTGGGCAAGTTCTTAACTTCTGGTTTTCCAGCACACAAGTTCAAATTCCAAACCTGTAGACCAACCTCTGAGGAGCATAACATCAGAGGATAAGTCTGCAACCACGAGCAAACCTGGCCTCCTCGTGCCTCAGTTTCTGCTTTTGCAGTCTGGTGGCATTGGTACCCCCCCTTTCATCGGGCAGCGGGGGGAGTTTCACACTCCCACTGACCTAAGATTCTTGGAGCCACGATGCTCAAGAGGCATTGCTCACGGCTGCTGTGATGGCCTCTCATACCAATTGATAATTAGTTGCTTCTACTCGAATAAGGCCTCATATCCAGGAATTTTAAATCCTTGACATCAGGCTGCACATCTCTGTCCATCTACTTACTCCTGGGGTTTTTATTGGAACCACTATGGCAAATGTGGTTCTTTTCCCTCTTTAAAATACCTTATAACAGCAACTCACGAATGGTACACGATGTGCTCCAGCCCACTCAAGGAGACAGTGAGGCTGAAGGGATGAGATGGCCATTTCACAACTGGACAGCAGAAATGGGGGTCTTTTGCCTTAGACTGGTGCTCATGAATGCATGGATACCAGGCCCACAAATGGACTCTGGGTTCTCAGACCTGGTTCTTTTACCAGGAATTTCAGAAAATACAGTAAAAACAATGCCCCGATTTTACTGTTTTTTTTGCCAAGGGCTTACAGAACAGTATTACTGGTCCTGTGCAGGTCACTGCTGAGGAAGAAATGTTATACATGGAAGAGGAGGACACATAGCCACGAACACAGCTAACAAGACTTCAGAAGAGGTTTTTTTTCCCCTTATGCATCATGTCATTAACTTATACAGACCTCTTTTGAAAAAGCATGGAGGTGTAGGTGTGCTAAGGCGCTCCTCCATTGCTTGCGCCAGGTCTTCTTTAAAACTGTTCTTGTAGTGGGAAAGGAAGCACAAAGTCACCTGAATCTCAGGCTCACCTTTGTCTCCGACGCTTTCAGAAGGTTCATGACCTCCCCTTCACGGGCATAATCCAGGGGTGTATGTCCCATTTCGTTCTTCTGCAGGGGGTTGGCACCTGATGGCAGGAAGAAATTTATAAGATCAGGGGATCGGAGTTCAGTCTTGGGGCAGAATGAGCAGGAAGCACATCTTGTGCCTCCTGTCCTAGTCAGCATCCCCTCTTAACCTTTGCTCCAAAGGCTATCTGGATCAGAAAGGGACAATGTACAACCAGCGGTTACATGCACGGGTGTCCAGGGAACAAGAAAAGGAATTGTCACTGCTAACAATTGGCTTGGCAGGGAAGAGCTGCTGTGGGGGATGAGAGCACATGGTCACCAGAAGAAAATACAGCTTCACAAAAGCACCCGCTCCCGATCCTGTGGGAGCCACATGGGACCATTACGACTTCAATTGGACACGCTACCCTTCCTCTCTGTTACTCCAAGCTGGAGATGGAGATGGCTGTAGTCTGCTAAACAGCTGCCACCCTAAGCCACAGGAGTGGCTTCTGGGGGAAAATCACACTCTTCTTTAGAATGTAATTAAAAAAAAAAGTCAACAAACCCCAAAGACTGAACTGGAGGGAGTCAGATGGGCACCCTCACAGAAACAAGCTCACACAGAGATTGCTCCCCGTCCTCTGTCCCCGTCCCAGACACGCTGGACTGCGGAAGAATGTGCAAAGGCAAACGGCTCCCAGTTGCAGTGATGGGAAGTATATAGAGGGAATCTTGGACAGGGCAGTCCAAGATCAGGAGAGAGGGGTACTGGGGAAGAGCCAGTGAGGCAGGCAAGGTCTCAGGATTAATCTCTGGCTCTCAGCATCTCAGGAGGTATGTCTAAAGCAGAGAGACTCAGCACTAATACTGGTGCACTCTGTGACTCCACGACAGCTTGCTGTCACCGACCAGACACCAAGGGTTAGGAGAATGAGGCTTCAAATCGGCCTGAAATTCCTCAGGTTGGTGCTTGAGCTGACCATCCCACCGGTTTCAAAGCTACAGCACTTATTGAGCCTTGAGAAGCAACCTGGGGAGGGAAGAGCTTATAGTAGGTCTGGCTGATTTGCCTGTAAAACGGAGGGGACAGTGGTGACAAGCTGCTGGGAAGGGCAGGCTGATGGTGCCTGTGCACGACTGTGAAAAACGGGAGCCTGGGCACTGCTACAGCATCCCCACTTTGCAAGGGGCTCAACAAACATCTTCCATCCCGCTGGAAACAGGAACAAACCGAGTACCTTGGCACAGGCAAAGCAGGCTGCAGCTTCTGCTTCTATAATGCAGGAGAGTGCAGAGCACCAGGATTGCTCAATAAAAGCGAGCAGCAATCATAATATATGAAAGAAGTGAGAGGACTCTCTGCGAGCGGGAGCCAGAGAGATTAGCTATTTCTAAGCATTGGCATCAGGGATCTATATTTGCTTACAGAATGAAAAATGTGCTCCATAAACATTCGACACAGAGTAATTTCTATTGCAAGCCTTGTCATTGCAAATAAAGAATATGATCGAGACAGGTGAGATTATATACTGCTGAGGCCGGCCACTCAATATCTTTTAAAGAGACAGTGCTCCCATGGCCCCCCCCTGCTGCCAAAACCCACCCCGGGTTTGTGCAGTGAGGAGGGGGGCAAGTTTTCTGGCTTCTCCAAATGATGACATCCTCGAGGCTAGGCCTGCTCTCATTTTAGATGGAGGTTGAGGGTTTGTTTGGCTTTTCCCTTCTCCTGGATCTATCAATAATGGCTATCCAATATTGGCCTAATCCCCCTGTTAATGGCTTTGACGACTTGACTAATTGCTGCAATAATTGATAGAACCTGACTCCTACAACTGGTCGATTCCAACCTTGAGTACCGGCAGCAATAAAATATTACGCCGCAATAAATAACAGTGTCACTTTGCTTGCTAATAGAAGGTAAAAGTGGCGACCGGTTTGTCAGCGCCCCGGCCTGACCCCCTTCCCCATCTCCACCTCCTCCCCTGCCCTCTCCCACCCCGGCAGCTGGCTGGAGCGGCGGCGGAGGGGACGTCAACCTTTGGAGACTTAATAGAAGGCAATTTGTCACCTCCCACTAGCTGTCTGTAGCTGGAGATCGACACCTGGGCAACACCTCGGGCTGTGCGAGCCCGTCGCCTCCTCCCACACCTCCCTGCTCATATTAGGAGGCCCCGGCTTATAATATTTGATAAATAGCACGCTGGTTCACTCGCAGCATCCGCGCGGCATCGCGTCGCTGGAGCAGCTGCATAAGGTCACTCATTGGGGAAATATGTTTCTGTCAGCAGTATCGAAAAAAGTTTAGTAGAGTGACAGGCCTCAATTTTTCAAATTTTATTAACTCCATCCTCTTAACAATTTGTCTTGAATTCCTTCAGATTCTGGATAACTGTCAATAGAGCTCACGACACAGCAGGTGCTGGTACCCAGGCCCTCCACTGCCATCAGGGAGGAGACGGGGATGGCAGGGAGAGGGGGAGATGGCAGAGAGGAGGAGGTGATGGCAGGAGGGAGAGGAGGATGCCAGGGGCTTGCAGGGCTCACACGGGGCTTGGAGGAGCATCCCAGCAATGCTCCGTGGGCAGCCCTGTGTCCTCTGCAGCTTGGCAGCCCTGGGACCCTGCCGCAGCTTGGTCCTTGCTCTCCGTTCTCCACCAGTCTGTCCTGACAGGGCAGAGGAGCGGAGATCTGGCTCAGGACATGTAGCCAAATAGGTGCCTGATGAAGCAAGAATAAGCCTCACACCTCAGACAGACAGAATGGGGCTCAAAGCGTTATCAATGACCCATAGGGACACCCAGAGAGCTACATTTCTCCAAAGACTGGACACAGAAAGCCTGTGAAACTTGGGAAAGCCCGGGGCACTGAGACAAGGAAAGGAGTAAGTGTGAGGACCTCATTTCATAGTGCAACCAGATGCTGTGAAAGCTCCTTTGTGGACTGCTGCTCTCGGGCATCCTCAGAGGTAACCTCCAACCTCAGCGTTTCGGTCCTGAGCCTCTCTTCTGCAGACCGCTCAACAGGAGCTGCTTTGGGGACAGAGGATGCAGCTGCTATGAACTAGCACCAGACGGTCTATGTCCTGATGCCATTCTGAATGTCCTGTCTGCAAAAAGTCTTTTCTGGTGAAGCAGACTAAATCCCAGAAAGAAGAGCCTGGAAATCCCCACTCCCACAGTGGGTATGCTGCTGAGGGTGCTGGAGATGGGCACAGAGAGCGGCTGTCGTCCTGAACCAGGGAGGGTTTGAGTGGCAGACAAGCGCTGGGATGAATTGCACAACTCTGGTGCACTGAATGCAATTTGCCACTGCAGTTACACCTTTCCGTGGCCCTGTTCAAATACCAACATAGTCTGGGATTCACCAGGAGGAAGCAGCCCACACTATCTGCTGGGGATTACACAATGTCATCAGCCATCAGCTTTGACAAGGAATGACATTATTATTGCTCCACATGGCTAGTTAAAGTAATATAAAAAGACTTCTCTCCTCCTGAGTCTTCAGTGATTGAATTAGCATGATCACCCCTTTTTCCAGTAACGTAAACCTGTTTTTAAATCAATAAGACACGTATTTCACAAGCAGCTTTTAACATACAAGAATGCAGCCCACCAGCAGATAACTTTCAGAAACATGGATGTTAAAGACAAAAGAAACGCATGCTATTTATTAAAAAGTCTTTATAATGAGAAAAGTTATTCTGTCTGGAATATCTGGAAGCTCTGTCCAGATGAGAAAAACGGAACGGAGCATTTGCTCTGGCAAGTTAAAATGGAAAAAACACAGGTCAAAAAGTATTTAAAAGAAGCCCTTGCTTCAGGAATGAAAACTAGAACAACTTTTTAACTGTATCAGAAGCTGGAAGTCAGCCGGAGGAGGTGAGTTTCCAGAGGTGACCAAGGTGAAGCAGGAGGGCTTGAGATGATGTGAGGAATGGCTAACTGCACTCTGCATCCGCGGTTACCACAGAAAGGGTCTCACGCCAAACCTCTTACAGGCACACGCTGCAGGACCTGCCTCAAGTTGAAGCATCAGCAGAAACAGTTTTAAAACATTACTGAGCATTAATAAATTGCCAGGCCTGGAGACTTTTCACTGAGGAGTTCAGAAGGAGCTTAAACACCAAATTATCCACCAGCGCTAACAACTCACGGCTTGTCATGTCCACTACACGGTGACAGTGGAAGGCAGCAAATGTGACACCAATCTGTAAAAAACACTTATACAAGGAAACACAGTAGCAGACATGTGGAAAAAACATGTAAGAGCAAAAGTCAGCACAACTTTTCTGGCAGAAAGCCTTGCCTTCCCGAGCTGGGGGCCATGCCATCACTGTTCAGTTGGAAACCGGGATCTACTCCATGCAGATGCATCTCTGATGCCCGAGAACTTCAGAGTTCCGCACCTAAGATGCAAGCTGTTACAAGAAAAAGGCTCCTCATGGATAAACAATGACTTAAACACTGAAAACAAAGGATTTAAAGGTCAGTGTCCACAGAGGAAGAAAGTTGTCAAAGGCATCCAAGGGATTTCTGCTAATGCCTGTGTGGTCAGACCATCTGTGAGTGGCTGGAGTGAGGGCTAATACTGACATGACAAAGATGACTACCAATACTAAGTTTTTCAGAGCCATTTGAGTGACAGCGATGAGCTGGCAAGCGAAACTCAGCTTAGATAATAAATGTAAACCAATGCACGTGTGGAAAAATCGATCTGAGTTACATACAAGCATTGACAGGCACTGAGCCACCTTCCACCGGGAAATCGGGCACGAGGCATTGGAGTTGCCGTCAACAGCTCCATGAAAACATTAACTTGCTGCTGAATCAAAGCGGGAATTAGTTCAGAAGGAAGAAAGCACCAGACATTTGTCCTACTCTGAGTTTTCCTCCTCAGTGCTGTTCCCGGCTGCTCTCAGGGGTGCAGGGACGTGGTCGGGTGCAGTGTGCTCCCAGCCATGCTACGTCCTGCATTGCCACATCGTTAGGCACCAGCAGCGAGTGACCTGCCTAGAGGAGCTTGCTGTGCAGATGGACACGATAAAGGATGGAAGAAAGAGAGGAATATCTAGAAC